GGCCAGTGGTATTGCGTTACTGACCCGGTGCTGCTTTGTATGGCTCCATAACTCAGGATGATGATGATGCACCTCTGTTTGACTGCAAACACCCTGGGAGTCTATTCTTTTTCATTAGACTGTGTCTCACTTGGCCACCGGGTTCTCTTTGACTGGATAATGTTTGGTCAGTGAGGTGTCCACAAGGAGTCATTATTCAAGTTGAGAAAAGCTCATTACCGTAAGTGGTGTCTGGAGTGTGCGACTGAGCTGAGTGGCCCTTGGGAATGGCGTGGTGTGTCCTGAGAGGCAGTTATGAGAGTACCCTGAATACTCATGTGGTGTAAGTATAAAGTATTACTGGTTTTGTCAGTGCTGTCTTTGGAGGACTTGTTTGGTCGGTGCAAAGAGATGCTTGTTATTGCATTGTTTTGTGTCCAATGTGATGGTATACACAAGGTGGACATCATATCGACAGCTTGTTAGTTCCCCAGCAAGCAAAACATTGATGGCGAAAGGGCTAAAGTCGAGCTGTATTGCTGCTGCCGTCCAACTAAATGAGGTCTGAGTGGGTTACTAGGTATCATTTTAAACCAGCTACTAATGACTTCCCCAGAGCTAGCAAAAGGAAGAGGGGAAACGGAGCTGCGTATCCTCCCATTCAGTCTCTGAACTGTACTCTCTTTGGAGTACTGAGCACAATGATTGGTGGCTGGGTACCTGATATGAAGCAGCTATTGGAAATGTTTACAGACACAACAAACACCTTATCATGGTGTTAATGATGGTTCAGAAGTGTTTTTGTAAAAGTTTTGATAAACCAAAAGCCTATATCAGGAGGATACAGAAACATTATCAGAGAAAATGTATAGTGTTTCCCCCCCCAGGTATCATTCCTGTCTCTTGCAAGATAAATTACGCCGAGGCAACCCTTGGTGTATTTGCAGGTAAAATAAGAAAAAGGTAATAGTTTTCTCCTTGAAAGTTTAAGAGCCTGATACAAAACCATCCATTGCAGAATCTTAAATTCCCCATGTTGCTCTTTTTTTTCCCCTTGAGATAAAGTAACAGATCTAGCATGTAACCATTTGCTCATCACGGAGGCTCAAAGGTTGACATTTAACTGAATGTTGTTGTATGCACATGCCTCACTTGTTGCATGAGCATTTAGCTTTGGGTAAAATGTAAATTATAGCTGCACCTTTCTCTGCAGAGTAATTAAAATTCCAATTGTTCTACTGGTTGAATGACTGTGTTCATCACAGTTGCTACGTTCTTAATAATGCCTCTGAATTAATCTTGTAGCATCTTTAAACAAAGTTTCAATAATTGCCTTCAACTGGATGAAAGCAGCTGATAGAATAAAAACAACATATATCACAATTAGAACATCTCTATATGAAGGTTTAATTTACCTGTCTTAACTTTTAATATTTTTATCCATTATATTTCATCTGTTTACTTTCTTTGAATAGTGAAAGGCCGTTCCCTTCCCTTTTTCAGTTTCCCCATCAAAGCAATGGCTTAGTGGACCGCTTTCACACAATTAAAAAGTAGTCTTGCGTAAAGCTTTGCACAAAAAAATACAACTTCTAAGTAGGTCTGTCGCAATAAACAAATCAATTAATTGCATGATAAATGAAAAGTATCGACCTCATTTTCATTTATCGGCTTTATCGTTTCTCTCTCTCTCTATTGAAGACACGACTCAACGCTCTTCACTAACCCGTCCCTTTCGCTTTTCTCGTTAAAATCCATTTTAACTAGGGGTGCACCGATTGCAGTTTTCTGGCCGATCTCTGATCACCGATTTCTAAAAAGTCTGACCTGCCGATTCCGATTTTGGCCGATACCGATTTTGTTTAATAAGTGACACTGTCAGGTGTTGTAAGGTCACAATGCACCTTCAATTTTCTAATATTTTATTGAAAAACATACCCTTGAACAATATCCTAGAAACAATACAAACTTGTTTTAACTGGTCATGAGGTAGTGCTCTGAAATATGAATGAAGTTCAGACAATTGTTGTTAAAAAAAAAATTGGTTTCTCATGCAAGTATCAGCCGATTTCCCAAAATTAAGGAAATCGACACTGATAAATCTGCCGGCACCCCTAATTTTAACCATCCAAAATCGTGTTTTTGGATTGTTAAAAGCAGCTAAACAGAGAAGCTAAGCTAACAGGCCAACCTCAGGAAAACAACGCCGTCTTGTCGAAGCTCAAATTCACGGTTGAACCCCATGCCTTCGTCTAAAAAGTTGTTTTTCTTTGCAAAAAGAAGCTGAGAAATTGTTTACTGATTTTTTTTTATTTAAAAAATATATATATATTTTTAAGCTGTGTGAAAAATGAAATGCTGAAGAGCTCAAACCACACCGAGCGTCCGCCATTTTGAGAACTGAAGAGAGACGTCCCATGTCACGTCAAAGGGCCTCCTTCCCATTTTTCTTAGAGACATGCTGTTCGCGCCCCCTTTGTCCATCCTTCGGTTCAAACAGTCTTTACTACCATCAAGTGGCCAAAAAATGTACTACACACAAATTAAAAATTTCTTCGTAAATTTAACAATTACTAATTCTTGTCAAATTTCAATCAATATTGTCATTTATCACAATATTTTCTGAGACAATTAATCACCCAGCTTAATTTGTTATTGTGACAGTCCTACTTCTAAGGAAATACACCATTTGTGTGAAGCTCATCAGAGTTGTCATACTTGAAGTGTTGGATCACCGGGTCTTAACCTAATTTAGGTGTTGACAGGCGCACCTGTCTAATAAATGTGAGGCATGTATTGCTTTGACAAGTCTCCTTTTATTTTATCTCCTTACCAATTAGAGATGTAGATCTGACAGGTTACTCAGCCCTGGTAAATCTTTCTTATTCAGGATACGCCCCGTTGATCTTGTAGCATGGCGTTTGCACTCAGACCCCCACACTGCATCCCACTGTTGGGTGCCTGAACAGTGTCACATTGTTGTTGATGCCCTGCTTCTCCACGCAACAATACACTCGCTGCCTTGGTTCTGTAAGCCTGACGCTAAGAGGCTGAAGTTGGCAGCCCAACAAAAGGATGTCTATCCACCGTGTGCTCCTCCAAACATCCGTCACCCATTAAATCTGTTGTCACTACAAGTGCATTCAGCTCTTTGGCTATCTCATTCCTTCTTTTTTTTTTTTTTTTTGATCTGTTCGTTTCTTTGGAGATTTTCATCCGCAGTAATCCAAATGATTGTGTCCACTTCCAGCTCTTTCACATTGATTCTGTTATCCCTCGCAGCTTAAATGGATTCACTCTTGGGCATGTTGGACTGTTTTGCATGTGTTGTCTGGGTTAAGACGAGCTGACAGGCGAGTCTTTGGTGATTGAGTCTGAGAAAAATAAAAGTGAAAGGTGGTTGTTGTTGTTGGCTTTCTAGAAAACCTGGGAAGCTGTGCTATGAAAGCCTGTGGCCATTTACCAGAGATTTAAAGAAAGCCGCATAGACGAGGGTGGCCTGGCTATGTCGGCGCCAGCATTCTTCAGGTTCACACACCGAGCACCTGTTACTTATTTGTCTGTTTTACTAGGGGTGCAAATCTGTGTCTGGTGATTTGATTCTGATTTTTGGTGTCACGGTTTGATTTAAAATCGATTTTTCGATTCAGAAACAATTTTTCTGTTGAAATGGTCATAAATTTTGTTTCAATTATGTAACCGACAATCTGTAAAGGTTAAACAACAATATAAACAAATATAACATTCATTTAAAACGATCATTTTAGGTTATTTACTGTAACAAATCTTTTTTCATCATTTTGTATTCATACCAAAAATAGGAACAAATATAGGTGTGCATAAAATTGTGTAACTTAGGGTGCATTCACACCAGCCCTGTTTAGTCCGCTTTAATCGAACTCTAGCCCGTTTTCCTAGAAAGTCCGGTTCGTTTAGGGAGGTGTGAACACGCCATGGAACTCTGTCACGGAACAAAAAGGCGAACTCTGGCCTGGGCTAAAACCTAGGTCTCGGTCCGGTAGAAGCGAACTCCAGCGCGGTTCGAGTGCAGTGTGAATGTAAACAGACCGAGCCCCGCTCCACAGGACAAACAAACACGCATTTCTCTGACCTTATATGGAGCCGTCAGCTGCCTTGTGTGGAAAAACAATATTCTCCATGGTCTTCTGTCTCATCTTCTGCTCATGCCACGTCCATCCATCCATCCATCCATCCATCCATTCATTATCTTTACCCGCTTATTCCATTTTGAGTCACGGGGGGTCGCTGGTGCCCATGTCCAGCAATCACTGTGCGAGGGGCGGGGTACACCCTGGACGGGTCGCAAGTCCATCACAGGGCCACATAAAGACAAACGAGACAAACAACCATTCACTCTCTCACTCACACCTAGGGACAATTTAGAGTTACCAATCAGCCTAACACGCATGTTTTTGGTCTGTAGGAGGAAACCGGAGCACCCGGAGAAAACCCACGCATGCACGGAGAGAACATGCAAACTCCACCCAGAAAGGCCCCTGGACCGGGGTTTGAACCAAGGACCTGCTCACTGAGAGGCAGCAGCTCTACCAGTTGCGCCACCGTGCTGCCCATGCCAAGTCCATTTTTGAAAAATGACAAAATGTAACTCCCAAAACTGCTAAAACTTGATGCCACTTAGTTTTTATTTTTATTTACAGAAGAAGTGTCTTCAGAGGTTTTTGTGTCGTTTCTTTCAGTAGTTCTTGGTGCAGCGCCCCCACAGGCGAGCGGGGGAATAAGTTGGTTCAACAGGTTGACTCGACTGCACAGTGCAGTGTGAATGCAAACGCACCAGCTCAAATGTAAACAAAAGGAGGGGGGGGGGGGTCCATGTTTTGTATTTTGTACTTGCTTGGATGTCAAAGGTCATAAATATTTTGTCTATAGAGGACTGCATATGTGTTGACCCAGGCCTCTCGGTAACCCTCTGACCAGATGTGAGCTGGACTTGGCACACTTATCCAGCATCTTTTAATATTCATGTCCTTTCACCTCTACAGGGAGCAGACAAAACCCAAAAAGGACCGAACGGCCTCAGTGCCTTTGAGGCCGCTGAGAACGAAGCCATAAAGGCTCTGCTAAAGTGAGACACCACAGTATCGGAGGTGGCTGGACAGGTGGATGAACAGGCCTACAGATGGATGCAGTGGTCCCCTGACAGAAGATGGACTCGCCCCTTTTACCCCAATCAACCTCTGTCTCTACGCTGCTTTTGTCCATTTGTTGGAAGTTCATTTTGTCTGTCTGGTGATTTTCCTTTACCTTGTTTTGTTTGGTTTTATTTTTCCCTCCCCCCAAGTGTTTGGGATAGTATTTTCTCTACTTTTGGCCTCTGTCTGTTAGGAGGACATACTACGTCTCCCTAAGACCAAATTCTTGGGGAGTCTTGTTGAATTTGAATCGTAAAACACTGTTCAGGCTAAAAAGCAGACTTTACACCATAAATGCAGGTTTGTCGCTTAAATGCTCATCGTAAATCCTGCTTTCTTGACCTGTAAAAACAATAAAATGCTAAATGTGTTATTTCCACAATTTTAATTTCTAATAGTGTATGGCCAGAGCTTGGATCTTGTGAGCTGCACTGTGCTATACTAGATAGAATAAAAACAACGGTTGTAATGTTTCATCATGTAAAAACAGAAAATCACATGGTATGGCTTCTTCATTCTTTTTTTTTTTTTTTTTTAATCATATAGACCGAACTGTCTCTCACACCCCATGTGGAAACTTTTAAAATGTTGGGTTAGAGAACTCGAGGTCACCGTCTGTTTTTTTTTTTTTTTTTTTTAGCCACTCGTATATCGTATTGACAAGTTTGCATTATTAATAAATCATGAACCTTCTGTATTCTTTGAGCAATCATCATGCTGGTTAACAAAAAAACTTGAATGTTCTAGTTTTAAAATCTATTGAATCCGTTTTGAAATAATGCTAACGGCACATAATACTAGAAACTCCAGAAATGTCATTTCTTCTTTAGAAGTGAGCTTTTAGAGCAAAGAATCCTTTTGAGTTGCAGAGTCCTTTTTCAGATTTATTATCAGTGAGCTCAAAGATGTGTGAATTATGGGTAAATGGGTTGAAACCTGATTTCGGTGTGGGGGGTATTCTCCTTGCCTTGGATTTGGTTAGATGCCCTGCCTGTTTTGCTGCATGTCAAAACTGCCTCTGCTTTCTGCTCTAAAACAGTTGCTGTCCTCAGTTGCTTTCAAATGAATTACTAGTGTGTAATGGACAAAAAAAAAAAAAGATGCTCTCACTGGCTTTGTTGTGACAAATGTCTGTAAAACAAAATAAAAAATACATTATAAAAATTGTTTTTTTTCCCCCCCATTTAAATAATTAACATTTGAAGAAATTCAGTGGTTACGAGTATTATTATTAAACCTCTTATTTTACCAGGAAGGAATCCATTGAGATTATTAATGTCTTTTACAAGGATGTCCTGGGCAATGTGCAAATACAGCAACACCATCTTAAAAACGGTAACCGTAGTATTAAAATATTTACATCAAAACACTACTTAGTAAAACAAAATACATTGCAAGTTAAAGAAATCATAATTTAAGACACTTAAAAGATTAAAGGTGCAAGATGTGACTAAAACCTCAAGACAATTTTTGTTAAACACTAAAGTTATAAAAGACTCCAGCCTCAACTTAAGCTGCATATCATTCCAAGACCGTAAGACAAACTCATCTTTGCTGACTGTGCACAAAGGGTACCTTAAACTGCAGCCAGCTACTAGCCCTGATACTGTTCTGGAGTGAATTGAACTTGGAGTAGATAAAAAACTTCGTACATAAGCCGCTTACAGGAAGAAATAGAAAAACATTTTAGTCTATACAAAAAAACTTAAATTTGAGCTTTTTTGTTAGGTATGTAATATGATGATGAATAAATTGTCTTTATCCAGCCAAATATCAAGATATTTATGTCTACAAGTTATATATCACCATTCAGTGTTTTAAAGGAATGGTTGCTGCAGAATTATGGAAAACCAACATAACTTTGGTTTTGCTAGCATTCAGGACTCATTTTGAATCACGAAGAACATTCTGTAAGGTGTTGAAATCAGTCTGAAGATTTGAGCGTACTGCATCTAGTGAGTGTGCAGACGAGTATAGAATTGTATCATCTGCATACATATGGTAAGAGGAGAATTGAAACTGATCACAGATTTGATTAATATGGAGTAAAAAGATCAAGGGCCCTAAAATAGACCCTTGTGGGACCCCCTTGTTCAGCGTGACCGCATCTGACAAAACAAAGCCAAATCAAACAAACAAATGTGTTTAGTTAAGTAGCTGTTAAACCAGCTAACCAGGTTTGTTTTAAAGCCAAATTTTCGTATGATGTTGATTAGGTGACAGTGGTCCACAGTGTCAAACGCTTTAGTTAGATCAATAAACAATGCTAAACAAGCATGTTTACTTTCAAGTGCTGTTTTAATATCTATCACTTTCAAGGTTGTTCTAATATAAAGAGTAACTTAGATCTATTTATTTTAATTGTCAGTTTAATTCAAGATCAGACTTGTTGCTAGCATGACTCGGCTGCTCATTCAATGATTTTCAGGTCATGTTTTCTCCAATTTTAGGCTATCATGCTAATGTTAGAGTATGGTACACATCATTACAAAATCTATCAAAGCGCATTAAGGGTAACTGATCAATCATGCCTGGATTTATAGCATAATAGGCTGTTAGAATAATCTTTTGTTAAAGTACAGATTAGTGTTTAAATTAATGTGAATGGGGTGAGCCCATTTCCTAGCAGATAAATTCAGCTTTGCAAAAAAGGGGCAAAGGTGATTTTAGGAAACCACCTCGAGTTACAAAAGCTGATTGTAAACCTGGTACAGGATTATGGGGCATAAAATGTCCCGTCGTGCATATATTTTCCATTTTCATGTGTCACTGAATCTGACTGTAATCTGTCAGGACAGGGACATCATGCTGTTTGACAAATTCTACCTTTGTTCATCCCGTAGCCTTGAGCAATGTAATCCGTATTTGTGAATGTATGCAACTCTGTTCCAAGTATTACAAAACCCTGAAACTAATCTCTGTGTTGTACTTACACATCACTCCAGGCTGTTCTATTAGAAAATACACAGATTTTAGCTCCCAAAAGAGTTGTCTACATGTCTAGACTCAAATATGCTCTGTGATAATACGACCACCTCTGATACAAAATGCTTTTTTTTTTCATGGAACATTAAAACAACCATACCAAGTTTTTAATAGCAGCTTTAAGTATTTGTCCGAATACTATTGTGCATATTTAGATCAGCTCTTATATAATAATAAATAAGGGTATTAAAGATGGCCTATTTGTAAGCAAAAGTCTCTAAAACAATTAGACATAACTAGTATTGCCTTAATGGTTTCTGCTGAATTACAGTAGTACCTCCTTTATTGTGGGGGTTATGTCTCCCCCCGGCTATAAGTGAAAATCTGCAAAGTAGTGAAATTATATTTATTTTAGTATTTATATATATTAAGGCTTTATAAACCCTTCCCACACTCTTGCAATGTTCCAAACTCTTAAACCTATGTAATTTTAACAACATACGTATAGGTAGCTACTAAATTTTACTCCCCAGCTGTCGGAACAGCAGTGGCTCAGTTCCGGTCCAGCTCAGTTCCGTTTGGGCGGACCTACCCTGCTGGTTCTGGCTGGCTCTGTGGTTCGGGGTAGTGGCGGTGGGTTCCAGAGAGAACGCCGGACCTACGGCTGCGCGTTTCCGCTCGCAAGTCCTCGTTGGCCGGATACAAGCTCTCGGGTTTGCCGATGGGTCTGGGAGTCCAGTTCCGCTCCGGTTCTGCTCTGGTTCTGTGCCGCTCTCTGAATCCGCTGGGAACCAAAGTCACTGTAAAGGACTAAACTTTTCCTTCTGCATATTTCAGCAGAAGGCAAAGGGTCTTCTGGGTGGAGCACTGTTGGCTTCTGGGAACTGTAGTTCTTATGAGCAGTGATACAGTATATGCTTATTGAGAGTAAACTACAAGATGGTGGCACCTGTCCGAAAGCATTTTATTTTTTCGTTAATTTTACTGTACAGTATCCAGTACTGTCCCAATCACTTGAGCAATATTAAAGTTGACATTTGTGTGTCCCGTGCATTTTTTTCCCCCCTCGTGTTCAATCTTACTTTGAAAAATCGCCAAAAAGCAAGTCCGCAAAAGTCGAACAAAGTAGCGAGGGACTACTGTACTCAGGCTTCAGAACACCCTAAAACTTAAATAAAGGAAAAAAGAATAATCAACACATCCAAATTTCAACAAGAATAAGATGTATGATTTGCAAATCGGTCCTGTGATGGATTTGCGACCCGTCCAGGGTGTACCCGCCCCTCGCACAGTGATTGCTGGTCATGGGCACTGACAACCCCCGTGACCCAAAATGGAAGAAGCGGGTAAAAGATAATGGATGGATAGATGGATTTGCAAATCTTATAAACTCATATTTTAATCATAATGGGTGATAGTATATCATATTAAATATTAACTTAGGAATTTGTATCATTTTAAAGGAATACAAAGTAACTTTGAATTTGATGGCAATTGTGCATCCTAAAAAAATTAAGACAGGACCATATTGACAACTAAAGTCTTCCTTGTCCTCACAAGCAGTCTGTACACATAGGAACCGAGGAGACCAGCAGCTGGAGTTTTTCTGAAAGGAAATATCTCTTTTTTGAGTAGCTCAACAGTCCTGGCTTTTTTTTTTTTTACCAGATTTTTTGCTTCATGATGCACCAGTTGATGAGTCATCTGGTCTGCAGACAAACTATTCTTCAGCACACAGAATCTTCTACTATGAAGCTGTTGATGGAGTCAGCAATGATATAAACTTTGCTGTGCCGAAATGTGAGGCCTTCCCCAAAAAAACACATCTAAATGGTTGCACATGTTCTAAAAACTTGTACTCTTGCAATGATGGGGCCTTTCCAGAGGTGTAAGCTTCACCCCTATACCATCTGAGAGGCAGTGGTGTAGTTGTGAGGCTATCTTAAACTGTTTATACCAGGCTAGATGGTCCCTCTCTTTAACACAGAGGATGTGGAAGCTGTGTTTCCCCTAAACTTGTGATTTGTCTGACCACAGAACTGTTTCCCACCTTGCCTCAGTGGATGCTGTTCTATTAAGGCTTCGTCTTTTCACAGTCAAGCTTTAATTTGTATGTATGTATTGTTAATTGTATGTTCCCATACAATGGCGAAATTGGCTCTCTGCATTTAACCCATCCACCACCAGGTGGAGCAGTGGGCAGCTATTGAGAGCGCCCAGGGATTAATAGGGTGTCCTGCTCAGAGACACCACGAGATGTGCAAGTGCAATGACTGGGAATCAAACCCGGGAGTCAGCTGCTCTGTCTCTACACCATCTCGGCCCCCTTTAACCAGCATTTGTGTATTTGGAGTGCAATAAATGTAATTTTTGCTCCATTTTCTTTGTGTTAAAAGTCCTCCCTAATTATTAACACACCCCTAAAGGAGTTCAGGCTATCCTTCATAATGCATCTCTAGTTTCTAGTTCTTCTTGCATTTGGTCAACAAACAGAAGCCGATCACACATATTCAAAGTGAACACTTGCAACATAATTGCTTTACAAAGGAACATTCGCCCTTCAGAAGTGATGATTGTAGATGTGTTGTGTCACTTTGCTCACACATCCCACTAATTCAGCCGGACACTTTAGAAACCCTAAAGATGTCGAGCAGAATTTTAACTGCGCGGCAGAACATCGCCCGTCGGCGTGACGTCCAGTTTTAATAAATAATCCTGCTGAGGCTGTCCGTGTGGTGGAGACAAACAGGAGAAACCAATAGAAGCAACCGAGCTGCCACGTTCAGCAAATGGTTGCATCAAGTCTTGTCGAATGAGCACATCTAGAGGAAGACGGCAGACAGGAACGTGGCGGAGAGGGCGATGCGCATGAGCCATTCGCCATGTTTAGGCCCATGTCTGAGGACAAATAGAAATCAATTACAGCTGTGTGGAGAAACATCAATATGAAATGACTTGGCTACAGTTTGACAGCTACGTATCCCCTCCACCGCATCCATCTTATTTCCTCATTTAAATTACATCCAACATGAACAACTAGGGAATATCGAGGTCCTTTGATTGAGGCCGATGATAAATGAGAAATAAACAGACACACATTTTCTTCTTTTTATTTGTTGAATTGCTGTGCCACAGGCTTTGGAGTATCTGTAGACAATTTCCAAACTTCGAAGATGGCACTAATCATACTTAGGATCATTTGTTATTGCCCTCGTCATTCAGTTCTTGGGGAAAAGTGG